ACCCCCTTGGAGACAGCCTGGCCGACCGTCTTGCTCGGAGCGGGATGGGAACCTCTGGGCTGGAGGAACGGGGTGCGGTGCCCGTGCCTGCGAGGACCGCCGAGAAGGCTCCCGCGGGGCGGGGCCCGTCCACGGGAATGCCGGGGAGCGCTTCTAAAAACAGCGGGCGGCAGGCCGTGTGGGTGGCTGGCGCGTCTCATCCTCGCTCGGGCTGGCCGCGCTCCAGGCGCGGGGGGCTGTCTGAGGGGCTCAGGAGAAAGGCTGCCGGGACCCCACCGCCTCAGCCCCCAGCCGGGCCCCGAGGCCAGAAACACGCTCTGCGGTGACGGGACAAAGGGTCTGATTGGAAACCCCTCACTGATGCCCTGGGAGGGCCCCGCACCCCCCCCCCCCCGGAGAGCCCCGAAGACGGCACTGAAGAGGGGGCGACGGGCTGTGTCCGGGCTGCCTGGCGCTCCTCCGCCGGCTGGGGAGCTGGCAGGCTTCCCCGAGGCCTCGTGCGCCCCCTCAGCCGCCCCGTCCCCGGACCCAACCCGCTGAGCACGGGGAAGGAGCAGGCGGTGCCTGCTCAGTGCTCCCCTCTCCTGGCAGACGTTGACTAAATACCTACTACGCGCCTGTGATGCGGTGGGGCCAGCCCCGGAGCCCAGACGGTCTGGGGCCAGGCCGGGCGGCGCCTGCCGGAGGCCGAGGTGACCCCCTGAGGACCCAGGAAGGGCCCGGGAGAGGGCACGGCCCCTGCACACGGCGGGGCGGGGGGGGGGCTGCCTGGGAACCTCCAGCTGCCTGAGCTCCTGCCTGACCACCTCAGCCCCGTTTCAGACCGATGCCCAGCCCAGCCCCATCCCGCCCCCACAAAGCCAGGGGGACCCCAAGTCGCAGCCCCCGAAGGAGTCCTGAGCCGCTGGCGAGGACCCCCCTGGGGGGCGCGAGGCTGCTGACCAGGCGGCGGGCCCCCGCCCGGCTGAGAAGCCCCCGCGGGCGCGGTGGAGCAGGTCTGGGTGAGGTGTAATGAGTGTCCGGGAGGATAAACCCCGTCGCAGTCTCTCCTCCCGGCCGCCTGAGCCGCATGGCCATGCCGGCGGGCTGCGGTGCAAATAGAAGGATAGAAGGAGGCGGGCTTGGGGGACGCCAGCGGCTCTCCTTTGTCACCTCGGGGCTGCGGGCCGGCTGTCCTGGCACCGCGCCCAGCCTCCGGGGAGCGGCCGGGCAGCCGCACCCACAGGTCCCCCCCTCCCCCGCCCTCCCCCCAAACACCTATGGGTCCTTGGGCCTCCAGGAGGGGGAGCAGGGCGGGGCGCCCAGGCCTCCTGGGCACGGCGGTGAGGGCCGGCGTGGAGCCGTGGAGCGCTGAGCTGAGGGGAAGGACAAGGCAGGGCGGCCGGCGGCCGGGCCGGCGGCCTCCGGGCAGCGAGGGGCACGTGCGGAAGCAGAGCGGGCGACACGAGCAGGTGCAGGTCCTGGGGGGTGGGGGGGAGGCAGAGAAGGTTCCAGAAGGACCTTGTTATCCTGCCAGGGGACGGGAGGGAGAGCGTTTCGTGAGCTCGTAGACAGACAGACGGGAGGGCAGAGACCGGCTCAGAGCGGGGCCTCTGGTGGGGGTGTCCCGCCACCACAGGCTCCGCTCTGGGACCTCCAGACCGGCTCTCGGGGTCCCCTCTGCAGCCGCTGCTCTCCCGGGGGCTCCCCGAAGTTTCACCCTCACCCAGTCCCAGACCCAGCTGGGACCGGGTGGGCAGTGCCTCTGTCTCCCAGGCCTGAGGGTGCAGACCTCGCCCCTCCCCACACACACACACACACAGCAGCCCTTCTGCTGCGCACCAGTCACAGAAACACGTGGAGATCAGAAATAGCGACTCCAGCTGCTGGGACAATGAGCGCCAGCAGCCGTGTGTTGTTTGGAAAGTCACTTTCTGCAGAGCACGTTAGCCGGTGTTCTTGTTCTCTCCCCAGTCTATGCGCCCTTCCCCCCTTCCCCTCCCCCGGGAGGGTGCCCAGCGGGCGAGGGGCTGCCTCCGGCGCCAGGCCGGCTCTCCGGGGACATGGCTTGGGTTCTAAGCGCCAAGGGGAGCTCCGCGGGCAGCCCTCACGCCCCCAGGAGCGCCCAGGGCCTCGGAGTGGCCAGTGAGCACCGTCCGGGGTGGCGGGGTCCAGGCTTGGCTCTGGCTCTGCTCACGTCCGGGGGCAGCTGGGGCCTGGAGCCCGGGACCTTCTCCCTCCAGAGGCCCCCCATGTGGCCTGTGCCGGGCTTCCTCCAGCAGCCCTGCCTGGGCCTGGTCAGCCTGGGGCCAGCCTGCCCTTCCCCTGCCCCTGAGATGGAGCCCCAGCCACCCGGTCTCCCCCCCGCCCCACACACACAGCAGCGGGCAACCTTAAAGGGGGGCCGGGAGCCGCCTGGACCGCAAGGACCCTCCGGGCAGCGGGCGGAGTGATCCAGCGCCTGTGCGCTCCACTAGGCCTGCGCGCCTCCCTCCGGTCCCCTGGGGCAAACACCTCTGCCCACGGGGGTGTACCAGGCAAACTCACACCTCCCAGCCGCCCGCACCCCGCCGAGGCGGGCACCCCGGCTGGGAGGGCGAGGCGGTGCCAGGCGGCCGGTGAGCGCGCCCTCGGCTGCAATTTATTTTTCGCAGCTTGGAGAGCGGAGGCCCCCCGGGTCCCGCCGCAGTCACAGCCCGGCCCGTCCGCCCAGCCGGGCTCGTGCCCAACAGGCTTGTGCTGTGGGAGGGAAGACGGCGCTTCGGGGCTGGGGAGAGAGTCCCATAAAGGAGGCTCGGCTGGGACCCGCCGCGTGAGGATGCGCATCTAACGGGCGTCCTCCCTGGGCCTGACGCCTCCGCCGGCGGCTCATTGGTCACATGGTCGCCGGGCGATGCTCGGTACCTGCCGGCGTCTGCCCCCGCTCAGCACACATTATTGTTAATGGCTGCGAAATTCTCTCAACTGGAGGCCGCCGTTTTCTTAAACGTCCCCCTGTTCGAGCACTTAGGTTGTTTCTAATTATTTTGCTAAAAATACACACTTTTTGTGTTTAGGATTACTTCCTCAGGGTGGAGGCCTGGCAATTAAACTGTGGGCACGTGACTCGCGCTGCCAGCTGCCCGTCCCGGGGGCCCCGCTGGCCCGCACACGGCGCCCACCGGACCCGCGGCTCCCGGTGCCGCTCCCCTTATGGGCGGGCGGGGGCGCTGTGGCTAACGCGCGCTCCCTTCACGGCCGGGGGGAGGGCTTCGCCGGCTCCTCTCTGACCATATTGGGGCTTCCTGCGGATGGGGGGGGGGGGGGGACGAAGCAGCACGTGGGGTGGCCAGTCATCCGTCTGAGGTTGTGCATGGAACCTGCTCCTTTTTTTTAATTTAATTTTTTAAAACTTTTTATTAAGGTATTATATGTGTACATACCTTACCAATCCCCCCCCCCAACTCCAATACATGCCCTCCCTCCCCAGAGTTTTGCGTCCATTGGTTATGCTTATGTGCATGCAGACAAGTCCTTCGGTTGATCTCTTATCTCCCCCATGTCTCCCTCCCCTCCCCACTGCAGTTTGACAGTCTGTTTCTCTACTGTCCTGCTCCTTTTTTGGCCTCCAGTCCCCAGTCAGGGCGCCGGGGGCCCTTCTCCTGATTTGCCCGTGGGATGCGGGGTTTTCCCCTTTCCTGGGCCGGGCAGCCTCCTTCCTTCCCTTGCGAGCCTGTCTGGCACTGAGGCTCGTCAGAGAGACAAAGCCGCAGCCTCCCTCCTGTGGGAGCGAATGAACCAAAGACACTGGAAAATGAAGCAGAGCCAGAGGCCTGGGTGCAGGGACAGACGGACAGCTGCTGCAGGGAGGGCGGAGGGACAGGATGAAGGGGGTGAAGAGAGGAGCCTATGAACACACTGCCACCCTGACCGGTGTGGCTCAGTGGATAGAGCATCGGCCTGCGGACTGAAGGGTCTCGGGTTCGATTCCGGTCAAGGGCATGTACCTTGGTTGCAGGCACATCCCCAGTGGGGGGGGGGGGGGTGCAGGAGGCAGCTGATGGATGTTTCTCTCTCGCTGATGTTTCTAACTCTGTCCCTCTCCCACCTCGCCTCCCCCTACCTGACTCCGGCAGGTGTGTGTGTGTGGGGGGGGTGATGGCTAGAGCGGAGCACCCGTTTCTGCTCAGGAAGCGGCTTTGGGAGCCGCGGCTGCTCTGGGCAGGCCACCGGGCGCCCGGAGTCCTTGGAGGGACACAGGCCTGTGATCTGCGTTGAGCAGAGCTGCCTTCTCCGTCCGGGCCCCGGGCTTTGGGAAAGGGAGAGACTGGCCTCTGGTATGCGGGCCGTGGCTATTTCGAGCCCTTGGGACATGCGGCACTGTGGCTGGAGGTGAGACGGGGTTTGCGAGGCTCTTACATAATCCCCACGCGGAGCCGGAGGATCAAGCAGGATAAAATGTGCAAACAGTTCCCGTGGCACTCGGTCCGTGGCAGGCGCTCCACAGTGAACCGCCCAGGCCTGGCCCGTGTGGCTCAGTGGTTGGGGCGTCGGCCCATGCACAGACTTGTGGGGTCACTGCTGTCCCTCATCAGGGGGGTGCGGGAAGCAGCCAGTCAGTGTCTCTCTCTCCATCGGTGTGAGAACAACAACCATTGCTGGCCCAGCGCCTGGAGCCTTACCGTGTGGTGGGCCCCCGTCCACGCAGGGCAGACCCGTGTCCGCACCCCCGCAGCAGCCACAGGGCGGGGTAACGGTTCCTGTTACAGAGACTAGCGCCCGCGTGCGGAGGTCACGGGGTCGGGCGGAGCAGGCCCAGCCCTGTGTGGTGCCCGGCCTCCGCGGACACCCTGGGGACTCCGGGTTTTGGAGCTGTCTGCGACCCCTCTGCCTGGCGGTCTCTCTCACACCCTCCCGGGAGCTTCTCGCTCGAGCCCGGGGAGCTGCTGAGCTCCAGCCGTCACCTGTGAGTCCCAGGATGCTCTCCGAGCCCGCGGGTGCCCGGGGTGGCGCTCAGGTCCCTGAGAAGCCTGTGTCAGACAGGCTGGGTGGTACGGGGGAAGGAGGAGGTGCACCTGGGGGTGGGCCGGGCAGGCTTCCGGGAGGCGGTGAGGTTGGGCTCTCCGACCTGCTGAGGAGTGGGCTGCCGGCAGGCGGCTGGGACCCCACGTCCTTCCGGCCTCCGGTCCCGGCTTCCCCAGAGGCCCCCACTCCCTGCTGCGGTTGGAGGGCGGGGCGGGGCCCAGCACTGCTAACCGGGCTGCGGCTCCTGCGGGTCGTTAGGCGCTAAGAGGGCGTGAAAGTGACTTACGAGCTGGAATCAGGTGTCGGGGCATAAACACGCCAGGCCGTGATGGATGTGCCGGGGAAGTGGCTGTTATAATTGCTGTGTTTTATTAAGTCTTCAAGCTCCTGTTAGCGAATAGGCATGGCGAGCATGTTGGACCGGCCTCCCGGCTCCCCACCACCCCCCTCCGGCCTCCTCCCCAGGCTCAGGCCCAGCCCCCCGCCTCCTCCCGGCTCGGGCCGGCTCCCTCCAGCGTGTCTGACAGCTGGCTCCCAGGGTCCGAGGAGCCGGAGGAGGCGGGGGCCGGTCACACGTCAGCCCCGCTCCCAGGAACGGACGGGACTCCTGCCGGCGTCCCAGGCCTGACGTGGGCGAGGTGGGGGGGGGGGGTCTGCTCCCCCCTGCACTCCGGGCACAGCTCTGCGGCCGCAGTGCCTGCCTGCCCGGTGCCCAGTGGGCTGCGTGGGCATCAGGAGGCAGGTGCCGGGGCCGCCGGAAATGGAGGGCTCCCGCTGGGGCGGGGTGCTCCGGGGCCTGGCATGCACGGGCGCTCATTGGCAGCTCTGCGTCCGGAGCCCAGGAGCCAGCTGACTGGACTGGGGGGCACGGAGGGCAGACACCCCGAGAGCCGGGGCGGAGCAGTGGGCGGGGCCGGAGCAGTGGGCGGGGCTCTGAGTGACAGCTCAGAGGCCCTGGTTTCGGCGGGGCGGGGGCTAAGGGTTCTCGGCCGTGCTCCGGGAAGGGAGGGTCCTCGCTGTCCCCTTTCACACCTGCTGGTTCCACTCGGGGACTAAAGGGTCCGGGTTCCATTGGGGTCAGTGGCGCGTTACCCGTGCAGACTCATCCCGGCCCTGGTCTGGGCCTTTGCAGGAGGCCACCAATGGACGTGTCTCTCTCATCGATGCTTCTCTCCCCCAGCCCCTCCCTTACAGTCTCTCTATCATTGGAAAAGCAGCCCTAGGTGAAGATTAGCAAAGAAGGAGAGGAGGAGGGGGAGAAAGAGGAGGAGGAGGAAGACGGGGAGAAGGAGGAAGGGCAGGAGGAGGATGAGGAGGAGGAGGAGGGAGAGGGGACGAGGGGGGGACTGGGGAGGAGGAGGGGGAGGGAGAGGGGACGAGGGGGGGACTGGGGAGGAGGAGGGGGAGGAAGAAGAGGGGGAGGAGGGGGAGGAGGAGGAGGGAGAGGGGAGGAGGAGGACGGGGAGAAGGAGGAAGGGCAGGAGGAGGAGGAGGAGGAGGGAGAGGGGACGAGGGGGGACTGGGGAGGAGGAGGGGGAGGAAGAAGAGGGGAGGAGGGGGAGGAGGAGGAGGGAGGGGGAAGAAGAGGAGGTGGGGGGGCACAGCGGGCACCTCACTCAGACTCCAGCCCCAGGATGGGAGGCAGGGAGAAGGTCTTGTTTGGAAAATGGCAGGAGCCGCAGGAAGGGCCGCCAAGCCCGTCAGGAGGAAGGGGTGCTGTCCACGGCGCCCAGACCACGCAGCTCAGGCCCCGGGGACCCAGCTCCGAGGCCACGGCCCTCCCGCGTGGCTGCTGCCGGCTCCCCCCTCCCCCCCGCCGCTCCTCGCTCTCCTCTCCTCACACGCCCACGCCTCTCCTCCCGCCCCTCCCGCTCCCGCACCCCTTCTCCTCCCTCCCCTCGGCTCACGTCAAAACAATAAACGTTTATTTGATATAATTAGACTCAGCAAGTTGCAAAAATAGTACAGAGGCGTCCCACGCACCCGTCACCAGCCGGCCGTGCCACAGCCACAGCCACGGCCACGGCCACGGCCACGGCCACAGTCATAGCCAGGCCCATGACGGGGCAACCTGCAGACACGGGTCCCACACCACACAGCACGAACCACACAACACTGTGAACGCGTGCATACAAATGCATACATGTGTTGTGTTTGAGTGTACCTTTGTGTGCACATGTGTATACGCGTGTCTTGTGTGTCTGTGTGTGCACATGTGTGTGTGTGTGTGCCTTGCATGGTCCCCCGCTGGGCCCCAGCAGGACAGTGAGGCCCACACACTCGGCTGAGGGGCGCCCGGGGGGCAGGGAGCGAGGGGATGCCGGGGACCCGTCCACGCGTGGCACCCTGGTCCCGGACGGGGAGGGCGCCCCAACAATGAGCAAAGGCCTTACGTGAACCAGGAGCGGGTCCCGCGTCAGAGCCCGTGTCGGGGGGAGGGCGGGGAGGCGGAGCCACAGGGAGCGGCGGAGGCGGGGGCCCCGGGGGCCTGGGCCCCCGGCTGAGGGTGGTAAGGGAGCGGCTGTCCTGGCCCGAGCAGAGGGAGCCCGCCCGTGAGGGTCTGTCCGCGCAGCACGCCCGCCACAGCCAGGCTCGGGTTCGGGGGGCGGTGGGGGGACAACCCCAGACCCACGAGGTGCCGGGGGTCCTGCCATCGGAAGAGACTTTTCTCTGGGGAGCAGCTGCCGGGCGGATGGAGACGGGTGGGGTGGGGGCGGGGGGCGGGGCGGGGGTAGGGGGCTCACCGCTTCCTCTGGGGGTGACACCAGTGCCGGCCCCCACGCCACCTCGGGTGACCTGCCAGGGGCGCCTCCGGCAGGCAGTCCTGCTGAACCTCAGGAGCTCCCGCCTGTTCCCCGCTGTGGGAGGGCGGTGGCCTCGGAGGGGCCCTGGAAGGCTGTGCAGGAAGACATGCTGAGCCCCCGGGGCAGGAGAGAGCTCCGGGGAGGGGCGGTCAGAGCTGGGGGACGGGCCGGGAGCAGGGAGGTCACCACCGAGGCCCTCCAAGCAGAGACGAGCAGGGGCTCCTCGGGGCAGGAGACGCAGCGCCCGGCAGCCCAGGCACAGGGATCGGGGTCGGTGCCCGGAGCGGCTGCACCGCCCCTGTGCCGCCGGGGAGCCGGTCCCGGACCCAGCACCGTGCACTCGGCCGGCGCCAGGCCTGTTTGCTCCACACGCGCCTGTCAGACCCGCTCTGCGCCCGGCCTCCCCGCACGGCCTCCTCGGCTCCGTTTGGCACAGGAACCACTAATTCCTAATTTAACGGCGCGCAGCCGCCTGCTCACCAGGCACGCGCTCAGATGGTGTTTGGGAATCGGCTCTGCGCTCTGGCCCACGCCGCACGTGGCCGCCAGCAGGCCTGGCTCCCGGCCCCCCCATGTGAGCGCACGGCGCCGCCCCCTGGCGGACAGGGTGTCTGGCGGCTCCGGAGCTGGCAGGTGGGACCCAGCTGGGAACGGGGCTGCTGGCACAGGGCAGGGAGGACTTGGCGTGCGGGCAGCGCCCTGGGGAGCTGGGGCAGGTGACGGCGGCCAACCCTGATGCCAGGGAAGGTCCTGACTCCCCCTCCCCCATCAGGGCACCTGTCCAGCGCTTCCGAGACACCGGCGTGGTGATCGGGTCCCGCCCAGCCCATCTCGCTCCCACCACACTGGGCACCACGCCCCCGCCCTGGGGTGGTGGGCCTGCCCTGGGCACCACGTCCGGCACCGGCACTCCCCGTGGTTCACAAGTTCACGGACCAGCGTGGCATTATTTCCTCTGTGTAAAGGTCAATCAGACCTTCACTGTCCAGTGGCCCAAGTTCAAGCTCGGGCTGTGAGGCTGTGGTGCCAAGGCCTCCGCTGTCTCTGCTTGCCCGTGGATTCAGCGGCCGTGGTGACACTAAGGCCTTTTTTAAACACACACGGAGCGCCCGATTCTGAGCATCTGAACACAGAACCATCTGGCCACTCCATATATATATATATTAGAGGCTTGGTGCATGGGTGGGGTCCGGCCAGCCTGGCCAGGGAGAGACATGGGCAGTTGGCCGGCCTGCCTGCTGGTCGAACTCCTGGTCGAGGGGACAATTTGCATATTAGCCTTTTATTATATAGAACGTACACTGAGTGGCCAGATTATTACGCGTTCAGAGATCATCATCATCTGGCCATTCAGGGTATGTCTTTACTGATTTCAGAGAGGGGAAGAGAGATAGAAACATCAATGAGGATCATGGATCGGCTCCCTCCTGCATGCCCCACCCTGGGGATGGAGCCCGCAACCCAGGCCTGTGCCCCATGGGAATTGAACTGTGACCTCCTGGTTCAGAGGTCAACGCTCAGCCACGGAGCCCCACTGGCCGGGCCACACTGAGCCCTTCCTCTCAGGTTGTCACGAGGAGGTGAGGTCACCGGCTTGCAACGGCTTCGCCAAACGAGCTCCTGTGAGTGCTTTTCCAGACCCTTCTCCAGAGGGCAGGCTCTCACCCACACAGCGGGACGCGCCTGCCCGGCGCCGGGCCAGGACGCGGGGCTGGAGCGAGCCGGTCGGCGTGGGGCGGCCCAGCGGGCGGCCGGAGCACAGTCCAGTGGTCGCGGGCGGAGCGGGTGTGCTGACCGGAGTGGGCTCCTGGGCCAGGACCAGTGAACTCTAACAGCCGAACGGGACGATTGAAACGAACGGGGAGAAGTTAGCCTCCTGGCGCCGGAGAAAAACCGAATGGACGGAATTAGTCCAATAGAACGGAACTGAGAGTAAATTGGCCCGATTTGACTTAAATTGAGGAGTCAGTGTGAATGCGGGGCCGGGGCGGAGCTGAGAGGAGCAGAGCAGCAGCCTGGGGGGGGGGGGGGCGCGAAAGTGACAGGGTTTCCGGTTGATGTGGGGTTTCTGGGACCATGACTTGGAGGTTCTGGGAACATTCCCGAAGCTCCTGCTGTATGCAGGGGCTGGGCTGGGGCCTCGAACCCCAGGCCTGCCCCAGACAGGCCAGGAGGAGCCTCCGGAAGCCTGAGCCTGGGAGGGGACTCGGACCTTGAGGTTTGATGGAAGGTGGCCTTGGGGCCAGGCCAGGGCCACGCCTTGGCCACGGGGATGGGAGCCGGGAAAGTGGTGGGCCTTGGGCTCCGTGTCGTTCTGGCCCTCAGTGTTCCTGTCTGTAAAATGGGTGCAAGGGACAAGAGTAGCTCCTGGAGGAGGGTGTGAAGCAAACGGGAAGCCAGGGTTTATTTTCTCCACCAGCAGCCCCTCACCAGCGTCCCCTCCCACTTGGCTCTTCCCCTTCAGCTCCCCAAGATGTGGGGTTTCCAAAGCAGCTTTCAGGGGCCTTTGGCCACCTTCCTCCCCCACCCCCCACCGAAGCTGGTCCTTGGGCTCTGCTGACCCCCTTCCCTGCTCGGCCGCTGTCAGCGCTGCCCCTCCCCGGGATCCTGAACGGATGTCGTTCACGGAGTCTTCTCCTCCCGTGTCCCCACCTCGCACCCCCTGCCGTCCTCCTCCTCCTCCAGGCTCAGCAACCCCCCCTCCTCCGGGAAGGCCTCCAGGACTCTCCCCACCTCGGGCCCGGCTCTCATCTCCCACCGGGAGCCGAGGGGCAGGGAGGTGACCAGCCCATCCATCCCCAGTGTCCACCCCGGGCTTTGTGTCAGGGCCGCGTTGTTCTTGGTTTGCGTTTGAAGTTCTCCAAGTACTCTGAGACTCTGAGACAACCCACTGTGGATGCCACACACACACACACACACACACACACGCACGCACACACAGACACACATACACACACAGACACACACACAGAGACGCACGCATGCACACAGACACACACACAGACACACACAGACACACAGACACACACACACAGACACACACACACACAGACACACACACACAGAGACACACACACACAGACACACGCACGCACACGCACACACACACACACAGAGACACATACACACACAGACACACACACAGAGACGCACGCATGCACACAGACACACACACAGACACACACACAGACACACACAGACAGACACACGCACGCACGCACGCACACACAGACACACAGACGCACACAGACGCACATGCACACACGCACTCACGCACACACAGACACACACACACAGAGACACACACACACACAGAGACGCACGCACACACACAGACACACACACAGACACACACACACACAGACACATGCACGCACGCACGCACGGGCAGCCCTGGGCAGCGAGGGCATTTTGCATTTCGGCATCGCTGTTATTTTCTGTTATTTTCCCCAACTTGTCAAGGTCAAGGATTTCCCTTCAATTTGCCTAAGAATGCGTGGCCTTGGTTCCCTGTTTCTAAGAAGCACTCCGCAGGTGCCAAGCCGCACACGCCCCTCCCAACGCCCCTGCTCCCCCCCACCCCAGGCTCCTGGCCTCGCCTGTCGCTTCTGGTTTTCGGCCAGTGGGGGTGACGGTGCCGCCCGCCCCGGGGCCGCGGGTTAAGCGAGATGATGGTGAACAGCGCTTCCCTCTCCCAGCCTGCGGCCCCGCATAGCAACCGCTCCGAGGCTGCTGTTGCTATGATTCTGATAATAATAACGACAATAGACCAAATACCAACAGATCCACCACCCATTTCTCTCGGCTAAGACACGCCCTTAACATTGGAAAATCCTCGGAAAACGGGGAGAAACACTAGACATTAAATCATCCCGAGTCCCAGCATCCTCCTCCTCGGCCCCCGCACGGCCCTCCCGGCTTTAATAACCGCCTCCCTCCTGCATCGGCTGAGCCGCCGGCGGCCGTCCTGCCTTGGCAGGCAGCCGTCTGAGCTCTTTATTTAACAAAGGAGCCAAGCCACCGTCGGCCACGCTTGCTGCCAGGCTCGCTCCCGGCCGGCGTTATTCCTGCTTTTTATTTGCGGTTTAATTTTGACACGCAGGAGCGGTTTCCATTTTTATTCTGTCAAATCTGCCGTGTTCCCTCCCCGGTTCCCGTATTAGTTCTAAACTTAGGAAACCTTCCTTCCCCCGGAGCACGAGAATATTAAATTTTACGTAATTCTCGCTTTTCGGGGTCTTGATTTTAAAAAAATA